GCATCGTACCAGGAGGGTTTTGGGTGTGTTACGTGACGTAGATTCTTTGGACTTTATTTCCATTATGATTGAAGACTTATGTACTAAGTCTCTAGTCAACTCCATAGTTAATTTAGCCATAAGTTACACTGAGACTGTATATGGACTACAATAACTACACCGTTTGTAATAAATTCTCGTACCATACCATGTCTCATAGCCACTTGTCGATTGTAAGCTTTAGACATAATAACTTCAGTGTCACAGTGTACCTAAATGAGGGGTATCGGTTTTGACCATAATGGAATCTCACAAATAAGTTTCGAAACCATTATGCTTCGTTACCAGTCGCGGCTAATGCAATGAATTTAGATTTAAGATGTCGAGGCAGTAATAACAAATATGCCCATTTCGCAGTATCGCCAAGTGCTGCAGAAAGAGCAACTGTAGGGGCCAGCGAAGAAGAGCCCTCCAAGACAGCTCCCAAACGCTAAAAACAGCGACACCGACAAAAACTCTGACTCCGCCATCAATAAACTCTGATCGAACTATACGAGAAGATAAGAAGGATGAGGAGGAAAAGGTTTACAAGGAGCAACATGCTCGGCTGCTCGCTGAATTTGAAAGATGAGAGAGAGAGCAACAACGCAAGTGTAATAAGAAGAGGGCGAAGGTACTGGTGAAATTATTGAAATGGTGGAAGCCGCTGACCCAATGCCAGACAGCGAGAGCGTGAAATATTCATCTTGGCAAAGCACTTACCGGTCTTGAATATCAGCGGTACCCGCAAGAGAAATCTGTCTACCCATAACAAAAATTGAAAGACTTGTTGATAAATGGTGTGTACATAGACTCCTTGATTGTGATAGGAACCGATGAAAGATTTGATAATTCAAAAGGCAAATGCAAAGTGTATTTGAAATGAGTGACCTTGCTCTCATAATATCTTGGAATTGAGGTTTACTAAAGTAGCGGTGAGATAATGATTGATCAAAGAGGGTATGCATAGAAAATTGCAACGCAGCAGGAATGGAATGCTATAATCCGTCAAAGTATCCTATAGAACCAAGATTAAATTTATCGAAGGGTGAAGAAGGTGTACCAATAAATGCAACTGAATATCGACACCTTATTGGGAGCCTAATATATCTCACTCATACTAGACCAAATCTTGGATACTTGGTAGAATTTGTGAGTAGGTATATAAAATCACCAAATGAAAGTCACTTTAAGGCACCTAAACAAATTTTGAGATATATTGCTGGACGACCAATAATGGACTTGTTTATCATTTTGGAAGTGATGGAAGACTGCTTGGGTACATTGATAGTAGTCATGACATGGATCTTGAAGATCGTAAGAGTACAAAATCAATGACATTTATTTTTTCTCTGAAAATATTATCACTTGGTGCTCACAACGCAACGTCCGGTGTCACTCTTCTCCTGCAAAGCTGAATTCATTGCTGAACATTGGCAACATGTCAAGCATTGGGGTTACATAATTTTTTGGTGGATTTGACTGGTTGGAAAGGTCAATTTGTTAATTTGTACATAAGATAACAAGTCCACTATATCCTAAAAAAAGAATCCAGTATTTCACAGTAGAAGTAAGCATATTGACACAAAATTTCATTTTGTTCGAGAATGAATTCAAGATGGCTGTGTGTAACATTGGCATTGTGTCAAGCACTTTGGTTACATAATTTTTTGGTGGATTTGACTGGATGGAAAGGTCAATTTGTTAAGTTGTAGTAGATAATAAGTCCACTATATCCTAAAAAAAAAAAAATCCGGTATTTCACGGTAGAACTAAGCATATTGACACAAAATTTCATTTCCTTCGAGAATGCATTGAAGTTGGCTCCGTCTGTGTGCAACATGTGACTGGAGAAAAACAAAAAGTTTATTTCTAAACTAAGGCATTGCAAGGGTGAAATTTTTTGAGATGTGGCACTCTATAGGGATTAAAGTGTACTTGCAGACAAAAAGAAGAATTAGGGAGAGTATTGAAAGTACTCCCTCAGTCTTATCATTTTCATTTTAGATTGTTTCATAACAAATAATATTTTTTTATATTTAGTAAATTTTACTAATATAATACATATATAACCAATAAATTTAATTAACTTTATAACATATAACATCATATTCTTATCTCAGTGTCTCTCTCCTTAATAAATAAATATCATTATCTATATTTAAAACACTCTTTTATAAAATTACTTTATGTTAATCATACTTATTCGTATTATATAAGTTTTTACTCTCTACAAAATATGTGATATTCATATTACATATATTTTATTTAGATATAATTTTCAAAATATTTAAATACGTATTCTAAAATTTTTAATCGTATATATTATTTCTTATTTTAAGATTATGAAAATACATCTTCTATAAAATAAAATAAAAAATAATATTATAATTTATTTATTTTTATTATTATTATTAACTACTTAAAACACCCGAAAAATCGTTTCCTTAATCAAATGTATCATTTCAGGTGGGACAAATGTCGTAATTTTAACTGCTGAAAAAATTTATATTTATATTAAATTGGATAAGAATAGGTATTGCACCTTTTCATTTTAGTTTTCTTTAAATGGATAAGTTTCCTTGTCATTATAAAATTGGATAAGTTTCTAGTAGAAATGATTATCGATTGATTTATTTACTTGGATCGGATAACATCATATTTATGTTATAATTATGGCAGCCGATCTGGTGGTGCTGATACAATATTTTTCAACACCTTGCTAAATTCACATATTTTGTTATTATATCTACATATGAGGAATATAGATATGAGATTAATTATTTTGATATTAATGATATGGAAACTTCATAAATCTATAGAAATATATAGGATTTCACTGAATTCTCAAAATTTGGGTGTATTTAATCAATATTTCTAAAGGTCTTGTAAAATTTCGGTGCATTCAACAAATTTTTAGAAACTTTTTAAAATTTTGAACTATTCAATACAGAATTTAAAAAATTTCAAAAAATATTTTAGACGTATTCAACAATCCACTTTAATAATTTACAAATCTTATTGGATTTTCTTGTAAAATTATTAATAAATTACATTGTATAAAATCTCTAGTAATAACATAAGATTTCAATTGATTCTCAAAATTTTAAAAATATTTTATTTTTATTTATATCGTTAATAACTATTTACTTTTTTAAATATGTATTTAATAGTTTATTGTAATAATATTAGTAAGAGAAGAGAAATAAAGATATAAATTAAAAAATTACAAATATTTTAAAATTTTATGTGTCTGAAATAATATCAAGAATTATACTCTCTATGTTCCTTATCAACGTATCAATTTGTTTTTTTGCATCATTGTATAAATGAAAACTTATTTAAGGGAAGAATAAAAAATTAAACTTGCTAAAATAGTTCGAATTAAAATCATCCGTTTCGATCGACCACCAGCATAACACATTTACCAACCAACATCGGCGCTAGGGTTTGCATCATGATTACAACATTTTGAAGATATGCTGAAAGACACAAGACTTAATCCTACTCTAAGACATATAAGTACTACTTGATTAAATCATTGAAATAATGAAACTATGACATCTAATAAAAGTTTTGGTTGTCCAAGTGTATTCTTTGTAAATTCTGTATTTTGTCACTTCGGATTCATTTTGAACTGTTCGATGTATATTATATGTAGTTCATTGAATTTGTTGCCGTTTATCCAAAATTAGTCTATCGATAATCAATGCAGGAGTTCAACAATTCTTATATGGCATAACAGTTTTACATAGAGTTCAATAAAAATTTTCTATTAGTATATAACTATTTTAATAAATCTACACAATGATTAAGCAATCTAGTAATACATATTTTTTGCATGATTTTACAAATTTCAAGTATAATTCAATATCTTCCAATATTGTTAAATCTTAAATTTATCAACAAATTAAACTTATTATCAGCTTAATATCTTTATATATGCAAGAAAATATGTTATTGCTGTATCTGAAAGTTTGTTAAGAATATTTTGAAGATATATCCATTTGGATATGTGCATTATTCTAAGGAAGTAGAGAGATGTATACAATCCGATCTTCGACTTGATGAAGGATATGCAATCTAAAAAAGAAAAAAAAAATATTTTCCAATATTATTTTCTTCACTTCTGCATATTGTATCTATGGAAGACTATTATGTATTTTTCCTATCTTCTTGATTTTCGATGTTGAATAGATGCGTACATACATATTGGCATTATTTTCAGATATATAAATTTCTTCACTCCCACGTATTGCTACCCAAAGTTTATCATGAAATAAAGCTCCATCAGAGTGCTTTCCTCAGAGTGTCTTTAGATGCATTTTTTTTTTTAAAAATTTTTTTATGTGTTCAGTTGTTCTGAATTTTTGAAAATTTTAATATGAAAGTGTGGGTCTAATGTAATGTGATTTTTATAATAAAAATAAGGTATTGGATGTTAAATTCTGTGAGGAAAAAAAAAAACAGTAAAGGAAAAATAGAAATGCCTTGAAGTTGAATTTATCGAAAGCATAAATGAAAGTACAATTGGACAAAACTCTCATTTTGTATATTATGGAATCAATCAAATACCCTCAATAGTTGTAACTAGTTATGCGGAGTTCGAACCTAGTTAATCATGCGAAACTTTTCAGGTTTCCTTGAACACGTGTGAAAAGACATTAGTCCAAACATGCAATAACAATTGCTATATTTTTAATGGAATGAAAGAGTAGAATTTTATTTTTTAAGATAATCATTGATATTAGATACGGCAATTATTTACAGAAAAAAATTATAAATTGCAATAACATAAAACAAAAAGCACAAACAAACACCAACAATTTATTAATACCAACAGTCTTCAACATGGATACAAAACACATTATACTTAAATTAAAAATAAAATAAACTTTCATTCATGATTAATTATCACAACCATGCACGGTCGCATCAAACCCGCCACCAGCATAACGCATTTACCAACCACTATGGTCATCTTAGTCGTAGTATTTAGCTTTGCCTTTCCCTTTGTCGTTGCTGGTTCCGCTGTTGTTGCCGTTGCCACTGCCACTCTGTCCTGGGAATTGATTATATGGCACCATGGTGCTTACTCCCATTCCAAATGGATAATTCATGCTCATATTTGATGCTAGTGGAGCAACGGGCATTTTCCCAGTCATATTCTTCATATCCTTTCCAAAGTGAGATATAGCTTCTTTTAACAATTGTAGTTGCTCGTATCCGAGTCCCTCCAAATCCGGGCCTCCAAAGGGTATCATACTCTCCCTCCTTAACTTCTCCAGCTCTACACCCCGTACTTTTTCAGCAGCTAGACTTGCCTCGACTCGGGCCAAAGCATCTAGCTCACTTTGCCGTAGCCGGGCCAAATCACGGCCTTCCCTCCACTGATTACCTATGTCGATGTTCTCTGGGGAGAGAAACTTTTCAGTAATTGAGTTGATATTAGGATGTCCAAATGAATGAGCATTGTCAGCAGGCGAAAACACTACAACACCAGCCTCTGCACCCGTCAACGTGCAAAGTTCGCTAGCTTTTTTGAAAAGCCCTGCTCGACGCTTAGAGAAAGTCACTTGAAGATTGTTCTTCTTTTCTATCTTTTCCATTGGGATACGGCGACGGCCAAGCTTTCGCTGCGAAGATCCAGATTGATCTCCTGATGTACTCATGTTGTCAAAGATAGGCAAGAAGGGTAGATTTGCAAGATTTTAGACAATAAAATTGCAAACCACATAAACATGCATGAGTAATATTGGTGTGTGTTTTTTAATTGATGTATATCCTTATATTTATACTAGTTCAAGCATCTTACATTTTTTATTTTAGGAAAATTGAATTGAAGACCTAATTCTACTTTTAGTTGATGCAGAGTTTATCATAATAATAAAATTACTATTTCTATTAATGGCTAATTAGTTTTGGATATATGATTTATCCAAATATTTGATAGAAAATCTCAGTGTTCAATAGCATTATAATATTGTGATAATATTAATTTTTATTTTGATTTGTTCAATTGATTTTGTTTTTTTTAAATCTTATTACATAATATTTATTTTCCATTTAAATTATACATTAAATAACTAGTTTTATTTCTTCAAACTTCAAAAATAAATTAAAATAAAATAGGGAAATATAGCACAAATAAATGTACCTTAGTGCTGCCTTCATTTTTAAGAAAAAGAAAATCAATAGTGGGCTTTTACTGGGCTTACATTTTAAAGTTATTTTGAATTTAAAAATTTAAGGTGAAGAATTATCATTAGGTACTATATTATTTTTGGTGGAAATATGAAACTTCATAATATATTGAATAATACTAAAACGAAAACAAATATGCCAACAAACTTTTTAAAATATGAAATTGAATTTAGTAAATTGAGAGAGTACATAGCACAACCTATAAACGACAAAAAAGGACTTTAGTGAGAAAATTATAGCCCTAATATTGTTTTTGAAGCTTGGAAGTATGTTTTAAATATTTACAGTTTAAATATATATACTAAAAATAAAAATAATAAACTATAAAGATGCATAAGGTATCACATATAATTGTTTTTCCTTCGTAACATACAATCAAGAAATCATCAATCAAAAGCGGTTGCGGGTTCCCACGTTATAAAAAAAATTAAAGAAAATAAAAAAACTAACAATAGCTTGCGGTGATGTAGTGATATGATAGCCATGAAAATATACAACAATACTTACAGTGGAGAAAAGTTTATGAAGATATTTATTTAGCTCGGATTCTTCCCTTATTATTTTCCTATTTATAACAATGAATTTAATTTCATATAATTACGAGAATATCGACATAGATATTATAGATAAAAAATCGCAAACAAACATGTGAAAATGGTAAACATAAATTGATTTATCTACATATATACATTTATACAAAATTTAGAAGGTGTTTGATGAATCTCACAAGGTAAAGTTTATATATTTTAATTTGAAAATTCAACTAAGTTAACAAATAAAAATCCAAGAATGAACATCCATGTAATATATTTCAAAACAACATGGATATGTTTTCTCCCTTGGTCCTGCTCTCTTGGTTCTCGCTTTTCATATGCAAATTTTCAGTATACCATTTTTCATCGAAATATATGAGAATCATAACTCATTTTTCGTTCAAAATGTAAAGTCTTACGACTTCGCCTACTTATGTGTAAAGTGTAAACCTCTCCCTCTATTGCCCTCTCTGAGCAAGATATGTTATATGATAATATAATGATCCAATTTATGCCAACACATGCCCTTCCTGCATAGTAGGGATAGGAATGGGTTCTGGTAGACCCGGACTTGACCCAAACTCGCATTATTCGTTTGAATTTGGATCCAATTATTAAGTATCGGATCATGTATGAGTCGGATATTGTGATTGGTGTGTCCTAATTGGGTCTGAGTCGGATCTAGGGAATGATGAACCTTACTCGGATCCGACCCGACCCATACCTTATTAATATATTAATAATATTTATTGATATGTTAAAAGAAATTAAAAATAATTTTTAATAATATAATTATATTCAAAATATTTTTTTTTGAGTTTTTTTTATTTATTATTATTTTGTTATAATATTTTTGAATAAAAAACATAAATTTTGCATACATTGTGTGTGGATCTTGCTTCAGGTTCAATTTTGAGTAATGTTTTTAAGAATTGTTAAGGTATTTCAGGTCCATCAAGTCTTGAGGGGGTATACATTAGGTCAGGTTCGGATATAGTAAAAGTTTGAATTTGAATTATTGTTTAATGCAGTATAAATATAATGTTGATGTGATATTTTGAATAGAAATTTAACTTTAGAATAATATAAAAAAAACATAGTTATTTGATTGATATTTTTGGTGAAAAAAAATTAAAAAAAAAATAGTAAAACTCTTGTGAGAAAACCAGAAGAGAACGGTAAGTTCTTTAAAATAAAAAGGGTATATTATGCTCATTTGTGTTTATGTTTTAATTATTCAATCTAAATATAAGTTAATCTAAGTGTATTTATATACATATATATATATATATATTGTTGAATACTTATCTATAAAAAATACATCCAACAACCAATTTAACCACATGTGTTCTACTATGTATATTTGTGTATTTCTCTTATAAAAAATATTATATTCAGCATATATTTTCTATTCCATACTACATGTACGCATAAAAATAATTTCCAAACTTAGAAATACTAAAAACAAAAAACAAAATCAAAACCAAAACTCAATTAAAAATTTAAACTCAAACCAAAACCAAACAAACAAGTTCGCATGACATCATTGGTGGAGCTCACTCGAACAAAAATTAAAATCAGGTGATAACTTTACTCCGGGAGCAAGTGAGCAACCAACTTAACCTTTGAACAAGACAATTCACTCAATATATGAACATAGTAATTAACTTGTTGATATTGCGAGATAGGTTGATTCCGATAAAGCAAGCAAGCGACTTTAATTTTCCTCGTTTGGGACTTCGATTACCATCAAACATAACAATGTACATGCGTATATGTGTATGTCCTGAGACTTAAAGGTATTATGTTTGTTTATGTAAGACTTCTTTTTTATGAAAATGTATATGTGTTAATAACAAAAGTTAAATAGTGACAAAAAGTAATACTATGAAGTCTAGTTAAATAGTTTCCTTGTCTTAGTCATGTTTTACTTGTACATTGCTCTATTATATTCTCACTTCAGATTTGCTGTTGAACCATGGCTTGGTATATTCAATATGTAGTTTAATGAATTTGTTGCGGTTTAGCCCAATTTTGTCTACAAATAAACCTACGCAAGAATTCAACAATTTATTCTATGAAATAACAGATATACACCAGAATATGTATAAATATGTATATATTGTCTATTAATATATAGCTACTTTAATTAATCTACACAATGATTTAAGCACTTTAGTACCGTACACATTGCAGAATTTTCAAAAATGTTCGTATAACTCAATATTTTCACATAATGTTGAATATTAGAATTATAAAAAAAACAAATCAACTTGCTACCAGCTTAATTATACTAGTATGTGCAACATAATATATTTTTCTGTGTTTGAAAGTTTATTCAGAATATTTTTTATAGATATATCCATTTAGATATGTTCATTATTCTAAGGAACTATTGAGATGTTTACACTACTATCTCCAATTTGATGAAAGGATATGCAATTTAAAAACAAAAAATTATTAATATATACATATTGACATTATTCCATAGTTTCAAATACAGAGAATAAGTTGTCCCGTAAAGGATGGTTTAGTGGCGTGGGGTGAACTCGTGACCATTTAATTTTGGATGAGGTGTTAGATGTTAAATTTTGAAGCAAATTTCGAAATGCCTTCGACTTGTATATATCAAAAATATAAATGAAAGTACAATTGGAAACAACTCTCATTTGGTATATTATGGAATAAACCAAATACAATCAATAGTTTTAACTAATGCGGGTTTGAGTTCGAACGTGATCATGCAAAACTTAAATTTGCAGGTTTCCTTAAACACATGTAAAAATAAATGAGTCCTAACAACAATTATTGTTATAATTTGAATAGAATGAAAGAGCATAATTTTATATTTTAATATAACAATTGATGTTAGATGTGATAGTTATTTAGAGAAAAATAATAGATTGCAACTACATAATAAAAAAAGCACAAACAAACACCATCAATTTAGTAATACGAACAGTCTTCAACATGGATACAAAACGGATCATACTTAAATTGAAAACAAAATAAAATTTAACTCATGAGTAATTATGACAACCATAGACGGATGCATCAAACCCACCACTAGAATTAACACATCTCAACCACCATGATATATAGTCTTAGTTGTAGCCTTTCGCTTTGCCTTTGCCTTTGCATTTACCTTTGTTATTGTCATTGCCACTGCTGCTGCCGCTGCCGTTGCCACTTCCACTTTCTCCAGAGAATTGATTGTATGGCATGATGGTGTTTGGCTTCACTCTAAATGGATGATTCATGCCCACATTGGGTGCTATTGGAGCAACCGGCATTTGCCCAGTCATATATTTCAAACCCTTTCCAAAGTTTGTTATAGCTTCTTTCAACAATTGTAGTTGCTCGTATCCGAGTCCATCCAGATCCGGGCCTCCAAGGGGTATCATACTCTCCTTCCTAAACTTCTCCAGCTCTTCTCCCCGTGCTTTCTCAGCAGCTAGCCTTGCCTCAACTCGGGCCAGAGCATCTAGCTCAGTTTGCCGTATCCGAGCCAAATCACGACCCTCCCTCCATTGATCCCCTGTGTTGATGTTCTCCGGCGAGATGAACTTATCGGTAATTGAGTTGATATTAGGATGTCCAAATGAATGAGCATTATCAGCAGGCGAAAACACTACGACCCCGGTCTCTGCACCCGTCAAAGTGCAAAGCTCACTCGCCTTTTTGAAAACTCCTGCTCGACGTTTAGAGAAAGTCACTTCAAGGTTGCTCTTCTTTTCTATCTTTTCCATTGGGATACTGCGACGGCCTAGCTTTCTCTGCGAAGATCCAGATTTATCTCCGGATGTGCTCATGATGTCAATGATAGGCAAGAAGGTAGATTTGCAAGATATTAGACAAGAAAAATGCAATCCAGAGAAACATACATCAGTAATATTGGTGTTGTTTTTTAAATGGTTGAATATTCTAATATTTGTACATTCTACATTTTTTGTTTTAGGAAAATTAAATTGAAGGCCTCCTTCCACTTTTAGTTCTTCAAACTTTATCATATAAATAATATCATTATTCTTATTAATGGCGAATTAATTTTGGAAATATGAATTTTCCAAACATTTGATAAAAAATCTTGCGTTCAGTATCATTATTACCTTGTGATAGTGGTACTTTTATTTTGAGCTGCTCAATTGAAAAAAAATTTCTATAAAATTTTTACTACATATTATTTATTATCCAATCTAATTATACATAAATAATTAGTGTTAATTTTTTAAATTTTCAAAAATAAATTAAAACAAAATAGAAAAATAGAGCACAAATAAACGCACTTAAATTCTGCCCTCATTTTCTGAAAAATAAAAATAAAAATTCAATAGTGGGCCTATACTGCACTTAGATTTTCAATTATTTCGAATTATAAAAAAATTTAGGTGAAAAATTAAGTTTAGATACTATATATTTTTTGTGGAAAATTGAAACTTCAGAATATATTGAATAATGATAAAGCTAAAACAAAATATTCCAACAAACGTTTTTGTTGTGAATTTTTATCCCCACCAGTTTTGAAATTCGAAATTGAATTTAGTAGTTTTAGATAGCACAAAACACTAGTTATAAACTATGAAAGGACTTTTTTAAGAAAATTACAGCCTTAATATTGTATTTTTAGCTTTAAGTAGGTTTCAAATATTTCAAAGATTAAATATATATATATACTTTTTTAAAAAAACATAAAGATACATAAGGTATTACAAAAATGTTAGTTTTTTCTTCATAATATGCAATTGAGAAGTTGTCAATCAAAACACACAAGAAAAACAAAAACAAAAACAATAGCTTATTGTGATGCAGCGCTGCCAAGTAAATATATAATAATATTTATAGTGAAGAAAAGTTCATAAACATATTTATTAAGCTCGGATTCTTCCCTTGTTATTTTGCTATTTATAACAATGAATTTAAATCATATAATTTCGAGAATATCGACATTGATATTTAAATAAAAAATTGGAAACAAACACGTAAAAACAGAAAATATCAATTTATTTGTGTACAAATATATTTATCCAAAATCTAGAAGGTGTCTGATGAATGTGAGAAGGTAAATTTTAAATATTATGATTTGTAAATTCAATTAAGTAAACAAATAAAACTCCAAGAACTAACATGCATGTAATATCTTTCAAAACAACATGGCTATGCTCTCTCTCTATCTCTCTTGCTTGCTAGCTTTTCATATCTAATTTTTCACTTTATCTTTTTTCATCGAAAGATATGAGACTCATAACTCATTTTTCATTCAAAATGTCAAGTCTAACGATTGCATCTACTTATGTGAAATTGTAAACTTTGCCCTCTATTGCACTCTCTTCGGGAGCAAGATATGTTATATACTAATAGATGGTCCAATTTTTGTCAACACATGGCCTTCCCGCACAGTAGGGATGGGAATGGGTCCCGGCAGACCCGCGATTCGACCCAGACTCGACTTATCAATTTCGGGTCGGGTCCAATTATTCAAGTATCATGACGGGTATGAGTCGGATATTGTGATTTGTGTGTCCTAATTGGGTCTGATGGACCTCATTTGGATCCTACCGACCCAATTAATATATTAATGAAATTTCATTGATATGTAAAAAAATAATAAAATTTCTAATAATATAATTATATTGAAAATATTTTTTTTGTTTTTTTTTTTTGTTATAATATGTTTTAATATAATACTTAAATTTTGATATATGCCACATGTTCGTCTCACTTCATGTCCAATTTTTAGCTAAATTTTTAAGAATTATTATGGTATTTCGGGTCTATTGAATCTTATCGGGTATACATCGGTTGGGTCCAAATGTATTCGGATCTGATTTTAATGATAGGTTTAACAATGTGTATTATGGTCGGCTTTCGGGTTTGGCTAGACCTGACCCATTGCCATCCCTATTGCACAGTAGTACACAAGGCTGCCCCGAACCTAGATACCATACTCCACACTATTGGAGTATTGATCAGACCAAGTACATAAAACACAAAATTTATCCGTAAAGACAGTGGGTTTAAAAAGAAAGGAGAAGTAATAAGAAGCATTACACTCAACTTTCACAAACATTTAATTGAAAGCATCTGGTGTGTTTGTACTATATTCCAAATAAAGATCACCATTATTTAGCACTCATGTTTCCCAATAAAATTATACTATTTTCTCGGATAAAACATTACATCAAGATACCATTTAAACTAAATCTCATGCTTAAATCAAAACCAAACAAACCCCATAAAATTTGGCACATAATCAATTAACATGTCAGTAAAACATGGGAAAGTAAACCACACAACGTGATGGTAGAAACTAAGAAATAGAGTTTCAAATATAGGACAGGTAGCGAAGATGCACGAACCAAGAAAAAACATAACATAAATTACTAACGCACGAAAAACCTAAGGCAACAAGGACAACACCTAGACGATTACTTCAACATGCAAGTAGCTTGCATTGGCCTAATCCTCCGTCAAGGTATGATTTACCTCTTCCATTTGTTGGTGTCTTTAGTCGGGAACCACTCAGCCTGATCTAGGTGAGAGAACACCTCTAGCATTTGCACATTTAGCTGGGGAAACTGTTGGGCATCAAAAGTGGAAGAGCCATGGAGGATTCCAACTTCTAACCTATTGGGTTTTGATTTTGGATAGTAAATTTTTGAATTTGAATTTTTTGTTTGATATGATAAAAATATATATTATGTGATATTTTAACTATAACATTAATTTTTAGAGTAATATAAAAAATTAAAAATAGTTGTCAATTTCATATATTTGAAGAAAAAAAATTAAATGAATAGTAAAAATTTTGTTAAAATACTAGAATAGATCAACATAAGTGTAAGTTGTTTTAAAATAACATGGGTATACTATGCTCATTTGTGTGTATATTTTAAGTATTCAATCTAAATATAGGTTAATCTAAATATATATATTATGCTAAAAACTTCTTTTTGAAAAGAACATCCAAGAACAAATTTAACGATTTCTACACAATGATTTAAGAACTTTAGTACAGTACAAATTGAATGATTTTTAAAAATTTTCGTATAACCTAATATTTTCCATATTGTTGAATCTTATAAAAAAAATAATAATTCAACTTACAATCAGCTCAATTATTGTTATATATGCACAATAAAATATTTTTCAGTGTTTGAAAGTTTATTCAGAATATTTTTATAGATATATCCCTTTAGATATATATATATATGCTCAATACTCTAAGGAATTATCGAGACGTTTACACTACTATCTCCGATTTGATGAAAGGATATGCAATTTCAAAACAGAAAATTATTCAGATATAAATATTGGAAAAATTTTGTAGTTTTAGAGCAAGAGAACAAGATTCCCAAAATCATTTCATGAAATGAGATTCCATCAAGGTGATTCTCTTTGCGTGTGTTTAGACACTTTTTTTTTCATGTTTTTGGTTCTAAATTTTTTAAACTTTTAATTAAGATGAAAGTGATGGTCTAATGTAATGTCCTGTTTCTAATAAAATGAGGCGTTGGATGTTAAATTTTGAAATAAAATAGAAATTCTTTGGAATTGAATATATCAAAAATTAAAATGAAAGTACAACCAGAAACAACTCTCATTTTCTATGTCAAAATCAACCAAAAACCCTGAATAGTTGTAACTAGTTATGCGGAGTTTATTCTTTCTTGATCATGCGAAACTTTTCAGGTCTCCTCGAACACATGTAAAATGAAATTAGTGCTAACAACAATTATAGTTATATTTTAATAGAATGTAAGCGTGGAATTTTATATTTGAAGATAACAAACGATGTTAAGAAATGATTATATTAAAAAAAAAATTATAAATTGCAACAATATAATAAAAAACACAAACAAACACTAACAATTTATTAATGTCAACAGTCTTCAAAATATACAAAACTCATTATTCTTAAATTGAAAATAAAATAAAATTTCATTGATAATTAATAATCACAACCATATACGGCAACATCAATCCCACCACCAGCATGGACACATTTACCAACCATTATGATAGTCTTGGTTGTACACCTTGCCTTTGCCTTTGTTATTTTGGTTGCCACTGCTGCTGCCGCTGCCGTTGCCACTACCACTTTGTCCGGATAATAGATTAATAGGCACCCTGGTCCTTGGCCCCACTCCTAATGGCGCTGGTGGTGCAACATGCATTTCCCCAGAAATATTGTTCACATCATTTCTAAACTTTGTTATATTTTCTTTCAACAATTGTAGTTGCTCATATCCGAGTCCCTCCAGACCCGAGCCTCCAAGGGGTATCATACTCTCCCTCCTAAACTTCTCCAGCTCTTCTCCCCGTACTTTCTCAGCAGCTAGCCTTGCCTCGACTCGGGCCAGAGCATCTAGCTCACTTTGTCGTATCTCGGCCAAATCACGACCCTCCTTCCATTGATCACCTATGTTCATGTTCTCTGGGGAGAGGAACTTATCAGCAATTGAGTTGATATTGGGATGTCCAAACGAATGAGCATTGTCAGCAGGCGAATACAATATAACACCGGCCTCTGCACCTGTCAAGGTGCAAAGCTCGCTTGCTTTGTTGAACAGCCCTGCTCGACGCTTAGAGAAAGTCACTTGAAGGTTGCTCTTCTTTTCTATTTTTTCTATTGGGATACTGCGACGGCCGAGCTTTCGCTGTGAAGATCCAGATTGATCTCTAGACATACTCATGATGTAAATGATACGAAAGAAGGTAGATTGGAAAATTTTAAGCAAAGAAAAATGCAAACTAAAGAAACATGTATTAGTAATATTGGTGGGTGTTTTTTAATGGATGAATATCCTAATATTTATACTAGTTTAGAGATTCTACATTTTTTATTTTAGGAAAATTAAATTGAAGGCCTAATTCTACTTTTAGGTGATGCAAACTTTATCATATAAATAAAATTATAATTTTTATTAATGGCTAATTAATTTTGGATATATGATTTTTCCAAATATTTGATAGAAAATCTTAGTGTTCTAGTAACATTATGACACTGTGATAGTGTTACTTTTTATTTTGACCTGGTTAATTGATAATTTTTTCCTTTAAATTTTTTACTACATCGTATTTATTTCCATTCTAATTATACACAAAATAACTAATTTTATTTTTTTTAGAACTTCAAAAATAAATTTTTTAAAAAAAATAGAAAATTGGGCACAAATAAACTCACTTTAATCCTGCCCTCATTTTTAGTGAAAATTGGGCACAAATATAGGCACTTCACAATTTATTGAATAATACAAAAACGAAAACAAGGATATGCACCAAACTTTCAAGAATAAGAAATTGAATTTAGTAATTTGAGAGAGCACAAAGCACATGTTATAAACCACAAAAGATTTTTCTGATTAAATTATAGCCCTAATATTGTATTTGAAGCTTGGAAGTATGTTTCAAATAATTACAAGTTCATATATATATACTTAAAAAACATAAAGGGTGTGTTTGTTTGTGGGTTTTAATTTTTGGGTTTCGACTTTTGAATAGTAAAAAGTTGAATTTAAATAGTTGTTTGATATGATACAAATAGAGGTTGATGTGATGTTTCGAATGTAAAATAAATTTGTAGTATAATAAAAAAAATAATAATAATTTGATCTGATATTTTGGAGAAAAAAAGAATTTTAATAGTAAAAATATGTGATAAAATCACACAAGAACACAACTAAAGATGCATTTTCTTCGTAACATGCAACCAAGAAGTCGTCAATCAAAGGAAGAGGGAAAAATAACAGTAGCTTATTGTGATGTAGTGATCCCAAATAAATATATAGTAATATTTATAGTGGAGAAAAGTTCATAAACATATTTATTAAGCTCGTATTTTTCTGTATTATTTTTCCTATTTATAACAATTAATTTAATTTCATATATTTACGAGAATATCGACATAGATATTATAAATAAAAAGTCGCAAACAAACACGTGAAAATGGAATATATAATTGATTTATGTACAAATGCATTTATACAAAATCTAGAGGGTGTTTGACGAATGTGACAAGATAAAGTGTAAATAATTTTAAAATTCAATTAAGTAAACGAATAAAAACTCCAATAATGAACATGCATATAGTATATTTAAAAACAACATGGATATGTTCTCTCTCTCTTACTTGCTCGTTTTTCATATCTAATTTTTTCCTATACCATTTTTCTCCCAAAATCTCTAGAAGAAAATCATGGCTAGACATTAGCTTGCATTGTTGAGGAGAAATTTTGTTCCTTTATCTTTTTCAGCCTTCTCGGTTTGTGTATAAATAGGCATTTTAATTGTATAAGCAATCATCAATCAAAGTGAGTTTCATTCTAATAATCTTTTCTTCTCTCCATCAAAGGTCTTCATGCTTTGTTAGGTTTTTTTTCGTTTTCTTTCTCATTTTCCTCCTACGAAGTATTATCAGAGACATATCGGGCTTCTCGGTAGTATGGAAAAAATTTAAAATGCTCTTTCTTTCCAATACCCCCAACTCACTAAACACAATTATGAAACTTTGGGAAATTTGTATGAAAGCTAAACTTGGTGCACACGGTGTTTGGGAGAGTGTTGAGAATGGCTACACGGTTCCAGAGAATGAAGGAACTCTCAATCAAAATGAGAAGAATGAGGGGAGAACCTATGTAAGAAAGATCAATGTACTCTTACAATCATTCATCAAGGTTTAGATGATAATTTGTTTGAGAAGATTTCGAATGAAGCCACTTCAAAGTACTTATTTTTGAGTTATTAATTATCTATCACGCCAACATAGCTATCTCCTTTAAAGTACTTATTTTTGTGTGTTTTTACATTTTAGATATATACATATTATTGGTCACAAATTTGTTTATTAACAATATATACATATTTAATTTATTTAATATATACTAATAATTTTTCATCAAACAAATTTGATCTTGTCTATTTAATATCTAAAATTATAATTTTTTTTTAACATATTTGTTTATTTTGCATGTGACTTCTTGAATTTCATTAATTTGTCCATCAATTATTTTATTTTTTAGTTTTTTCTAAGACATTCATTCTTTTAATATATATTTCATATAAATTTTCAGAATTACCAATACATTTAATTTTATTATTTATATGATAACTATAAATAGTTAAATATTTGGTCATATTAATATCTGGAATAAATTAAATTAATATATATTAAATAGCATAAAACTTAAATAAAGTTATTTATAATGTAACTATAGGTAGACATATTTTTTTATGAAAATATACGTAGAACTAAAATATTTTGAATATTTTGGTACAATTATGTCATGATATTAAAAAATAATAATTAGTCACAATAATTATTGAATTATTGTATCCTTAAGAAACAAAATAAAGATATTAAAGATGATTTTATTACTTTTGTTGTTCATATAAATAGTTGTTTTGTATTTCATGCTAATGAAGATATTGCGGATGTTTTTGTTACTTATGTTGTGACTTTAAAAATCACCGAAATTATCAATGTCAATAGTTGTAACAATTTCCAATAATGGGAATCTTTTTGTTACTTGTACGTTGTACCTCAACTTAAATTAATCACGAAAAAATTCCGTGGCAAAATAGCCAAAAGACACAAAATAGAAATGTATTGGAAAATTTCATTAATCCGCCACTTGAGATAATCACCGAAAGTTATTTGTAATTTTTACTCATATATTACACACAAACTAGTAATAATAAAAATTTGTGATATAATTTTGTCACAAAATAGCTATCGGTGATTTTTAATTGTCATGAAATTAAAACCCACAACAAATTTCCGTAAGTATCATCCTTTTTCTAGTAGTGAACCGGGTAACTTTAAATTTCTTTGTTTCGGAATTTCATTACCATAAAACATAACAATGTACATGCATATGTATGTCTTTTCTGAAACTTAAACGCCGTACTCCCTCCGTCCCTTAACAATCTATCTATTTTTTCATTTTGGTTCATCTGATAACAAATATCCATTTTCTTTTTTAATAATTGTACTATCCACCTAACATTACAAATACATCTTTATATCATACAATACTAATAAGGTTAGTTTAGTCTTTTTACTTTTATTTCTACTACATCCTAATATAATACAATTATATTTAAAATTCCGTGCAAAAGACAAATGAATAGATAGATATGGGACGGAGGAAGTATGTTTGTTTACTTAAGACTTTGCGTTAATAACTAAGGCTAAATAGTTACATAAAGTAATACTCCTATTTTTAAGTATCTAAACTTGATCAAATTGTTGAAATAACGAGACTCTGAAGTCTAATAACAAATTTTCGTTGTCTTAGTGTTTTATCTGTACATTGATGTATTATTATTATCATTTCAGATTTGTTATTGAACCATTGCTTGATGTATTTAATATGTAGTTCAATGAATTGGTTGTGGTTTAGACCAATTTTGTCTAGAAATAATCTCAAGCAGGAATTCAACAATGTCTTATACGGAATACCATATTTACATCAGAATATATATATATATAATATATAACTATTTTAATAAATCTACATAACAATTTAACACTTTAGTACGGTACAAATTGCATAATTTTTCAAATTTCTCGTATAACGAACTCACTATTTTCCCATTTCGTCAAATCTTATAATTATATATATATAATAAAAAAAAGAGCCCAACTTACAATCAGCTCAATTACTTATAATATGTTTTTCAGTATACACTACTATCTCCGATTTGATGAAAGGGCATGCATTTAAAAACAGAAAATTATTCATATATACATATTGGTTGTATTCCATAGCTTCAAATATAGAGAACAAATTTCCAAAAATCATTTCATGAAATAAGATTCCATCAATGTGAACTCCACGTTTATTTAGATGCATTTTTATTTTGTGTTCATGTTTTTAATTGCTCTAAATTATTTAAAATTTTAAGATAAAAGTGAGGGTCTGATATAATGTGTTGTTTCTAGTAAAAATGAGGTGTTGGTTGTTAAATTTTGTTAAGATAATAATTAATGTGAAGTATGATAATATTTAAAGAAATATTATAAATTGCAACAACATAATAAAAAACACAAACAAACACCAATAATTTATTAATGTTAACTATCTTCAACATGGATACATAAACTCATTATTTTTAAATTGAACATAAAATTAAATTTCACTCATGATTAATTATCACAACCATGCAGGCCGCATCAACCCCACCACAAGCATCAACACATTTACCAACCAACTGATATTCTCTTAGTTGTAGCCTTTGACTTTGCCTTTGCCTTTGTCTTTGTTGTTGCCGTAGCCACTAATATTGCCACTTCCGTTCCCACTGCTACTCTGTCCGAACAATTGATTATACCCCACTCCAAATGGATAACTCGAGCTCACATTAGGTGCTGGAGGAGCAACCGGCATTTTTCCAGTCACATTCTATAAATCCTTTCCAAAATTAGTTATAGCTTCACTCAATAATTGTAGTTGCTCATATCCAAGTCCCTCAAGACCCGGACCTCCAAAGGGTGTCATACTTTCCTTCCTAAACTTCTCCAGCTCCACCCCGTACTTTCTCAGCAGCTAGCCTTGCCTCGACTCGGGCCAGAGAATCTAGCTCGCTTTGCCGTATCCTGGCCAAATCACGGCCTTCCCTCCATTGATTACCTATGTCGATGTTCTTCGGGGAGAGTAACTTATCGGTAATTGAGTTGATATTAGGATGTCCAAACGAATGAGCATTGTCAGCGGGAGAAAACACTACGACACCGGCCTCTGCACCGGTCAAAGTGCAAAGCTCACTTGCTTTTTTGAAAAGCCCTGCTCGACGCTTAGAGAAAGTCACTTGAAGGTTGTTCTTTTTTTCTATCTTTTCCATTGGGATACTGCAACCACCGAGCTTTCTCCGCAAAGATCCAGATTGATCTCCAGACATACTGATGATGTCAATGATAGGCAAACAGGGTAGATTTGCAATATTTTAGACAAGAAAAATGCAAACAAAAGAAACACGCATGGGTAATATTTGTTTGTGTTTTTTAATGGATGAATATCCGAATATTTATACTAGTTTAAACATTCTACATTTTTTATTTTTTGGAAAATTAAAATGAAGGCATAATCCTACTTTTAGTTAATGCAAACTTAATCATAAAAATAAAACTATTATTCTTATTAATGGCTAATTAATTTTGTATATATATCATTTTTCAAAATATTTGTTAGAAAATCTTATGTTCACTAACATTATGACACTGTGATAGTGTTACTTTTTACTTTGAGCTGCATTGATAATTTTTTCTTTATAATTTTTACTACATAATATTTTTTTTCCATTCAAATTTTATATCACCATTTTTTATTTTTAAAAGCTTCATTATAAATTAAAACAAAAATAGAAAAATTTAGCACAAATAAATGCACTTTAATTATGCCCTTATTTTCAGGGGGGAAAAAAATCAATAGTGGACTTATAACATGTTATATTTTAAACTTCACAATATATTGAATAATGGAAAAATGAAACACAAAGATGCCAACAAACTTATAAAATAAAAAATAAAAAAATAAAAATTAGTAATTTGATAGCACAAAGCACAACTTATAAACGAAAAAAAGGACTTTTTTGAAAAATTATAGCCCTAATATTGTATATGAAGTTGGAAATATGTAAATATTTAAAAGTTTAAATATATATATATTTAAAAAATATATAAGATACATAAGGTATTATATAAAAGTTTTTTTTTTTTTCTTCATAACATGCAATCAAGATGACCTGTATCAAAGAGCTTAAAAAATTAAAAATAATAATAATAAATCAATAGCTTATTGTGATGCAGAGATGCCAAGTAAATATTTATAGTAGAGAAAATTTAATAAACATATTTTAGTAAGTTCGGATTCTTCCCTTATTATTTTTCTATTTATAACAATGAAATCAATTTTGTATAATTACGATAATATCGATATTGATTTTGTAAATAAAAAATCGCAAACAAACACATAAAAACAGCAAATATCACATGAATTATGTACACATACATTTACACAACATCGAGAGGGTATTCGATGAATGTGACAAGGTAAAATTTAAATATTTTAATTTGTAAATTCTTAAGTAAACAAATAAAACTCCAAGAATGAACATGCATGCATGTAATATATTTCAAGACAACATGGATATGTTATCTCTCTCTTTCTTGCTCGATCGCTTTTCATATCTTATTTAGTTATTTTTCATCCAACTATACTAGACTCATAACTCATTTTTCATTCAAAAATGTCAAGTCTAACAACTGCATATACTTATGTGTAAAGTGTAAACCTTGCCCTCTCTTGCTTTCTCTTTGGGAGAAGGATATGTTAGATAATGATCCAATTTATGTCAACACCTGTCTTTCCTGCGCAGTAGGGATGGGAATGAGTCCCGGTAGACCTGAGATTCGAGCCAGACTCAATATATTTATTTGGGGTGGAATTCAATTATTCAAATATCAAGTCAGGTATGAGTCGAATATTGTGATTTGTGTGTTCTAATTGGGTCTGGGTTGGATCTATCGGATCCGATCCGATCCGATCCATACTAGATTAATATTTTAATAATATTTTATTGATACGTTAAAAATAATAACAATAATTTCTGATAATATATTTATATTGAAAATATTTTTATGAGTTTGTTTTAATTTATTTTTTTATATTTTGTTATAATACTTTTGAATAAAATATATAAAAGTTTGATATTTGTTGTTTGTGGGTCTGGATTCTGGTTCAATTTTGAGTTAAAAGTTTTAAGAAATTGTTAAGGTGTTTTGATTAATTTATTTTGACTTGAAAAAATAAATAATAGGATAAAAGTATTCTGTTAACTGAATGCAACGTGCATAAGCAATTTTTTCTCTTCAAGTGATTAAATACAATCGGAAAATTCTCTGCAAATTTTTTTCTAAAAGTTTTCTAGTTTGGTTTGCATCTGTTATTCTGTTTTGATTCGTTTTATTATGGGAGGCAGGACTGAATTCACTTCAGGAAATCGGCCTCTAAGCGATGCTCGGATTTGATTTCGCATCCTATCTAATTTGTGTTTTTAGATTTCGCCATATCTCGCTAATAAACTTTTTCCAACATGTTCATTGGCGGCTGTGTCGGTAGAGGAGTCGTGAGGCGCCCCGCTCTGCGGCATTGAGGTCCTGGAAGAGTAAAAATAAGTACCTCAAGACTGCCCGCAGCATACAAAGTTCCGGTTTCAGTAATGGACGGAGAAAGCAATCGGAGGTGTCAGTGCTGCGACCCAGTCATCGGTCGGATCAGCAGGGGTGATTATTCGTTCAGCAGTTTCAAGGGCCGGTTCGATAGGAAAGTCGACAGGCTATCCTGTTATTTGTTTGGAAACTTGTTTGGAAGATTGTCTAGTGGTTGATGCCGCAGCATCCAAATTCAGCCCAGGATTAGTCGGACCAGAAAGAGAATCGGCAGAACCTGTCACAAGAATACCATTAGACTTGTACAAAGAATCGATATTTGAGGTAGTGAAGAAAGGGGGTATACCAGTTGATGATGTTTGAAGCACACGACGCATCTTAACGGGACAAAAATTTTGGTCTACTGGGATGGAGTAGGATGTGATGTAGACGGAGAGCTGATCGATGTAAGGTTTGATCTGGTATGATCAGGCCAGGCCTTAGAGGTTGTTGAGATGAAGTGAGGTGGAGAAACAGGGCCCGGGAAGCCCTGGCGACAACTAAGTTGAAGGGCAAGATATTGGGGCTGGTAATGGTAAGCGGTGTAAACTTTCCTATCTTTTTCCAGTTTTTTACTAGGGAAGAGCGTTTGGGGCTTAAGGGCGGCGTCTCAAGAGAATTTGTAGGTCGGATGTGAAAGTGGAGAAGGAATGGGATATAGAAAATTGTCTGAACGAATAGGCCAAAATGGTCCGGTGGCATAGATGTTGTAATTTCAGTAAAGATGGTATAAGATGTCAGTCGGGTCGGTCTAGATGATGCGATGAATGGTGGCTTAAGGAGGAAGAAAGTGTTTACGGTTGTGACAAAGTTGAAGAGTAGAAAGATCAAAAAGTCAGCCGGGGTCCGGGAAGATGGAGGCACGGCCAAAAAAGATGGAAGAGAAGTAGAGACGGAACCAGAGTTAGAAACCAAAAGGTACCCGAGCAGACAGTGTCTAGCTTGGCCTTACCGGACAGACCGACACTGACTTTCGCGAGGCCTTCAATAAGGTTGGCCAAGAAAAGGTTTTCGACGGACAAAATTCGGCCGTCGGCCAAGTGAATGGCAACATCCAATTGTGTATAAATAATGCATTTCGAAGATGCGCAGGAAGGCAACGTGCTCATCTTCGGTCACCAGCAGTATTGGGTCAATGGGGCCGGAGGGCAAAAGGAACGCACCCACCTCCAGGTCTCAAACCCCGAGAGGACAGCGTCTTGAAGGTTGAAGACTTGGATGGAGAAAAGAATCGCCTTGTCCAATCCTTGCCGGCGCCACTGCTCACCATACTTGCCGGTGACATGACCATACGAGGTCTGGAATGTGGATTGGGATTAGCGAGTTTCGTTACTATGTTGTCTTGAAGATGGGCATGGTTGAAATGAGGATTTTTTTTATGGCAAGGCGATCACCGGCTTGGAGGAATGCCACATCCGCTGTTGGCTGACCGTATGAGTGAGGAGTCGATAAGAAACCAACGGCGGGTTTGGGGAGAAGCCATCAAATGGAGGAGCAGGAACAAACTCCATTGTTTAATGAGAAAGGAAATAACCAGAGAAATTTTTTGGTAAGGATTGTTAGCGAAACAAGAAGAGAAATGAGCAGCCAAGAAATACTAACAAAGAACAAAGGAGAATTTTCATTTTTGCTATTAAATGTGATACAATAAATCTGATACAATAATTATTAAATATTAAAAATTCAAATTTTAAACCAATGGGTTGCAACTCCTAATATAACTTAATACCACTCCTAAAATATATGCACATATTATTTATTTAATAGCAATAATAATTTGAAGCACTTAATTAACACTCCCCTTGCTTCAAAGCTTGTGACTCCCATACGCATCCTGAAATAATCATGTTTGGCTTGAGGAAGTGATTTGGTGAAGATATCCGCTACTTGCTCGTTGGTTCCACAAAACATCACTGCAATTGTTTTGTTTGTTACAAGTTGTCGAATGAAGTGATGTTGCACCTCAATATGTTTTGTCCTCCCATGGAAAGCTGGATTTTTGGCAATTGCATTGGCTCCCTTGTTGTCACAGAAAATTTGTTTCCCCTCCTTTTGCTCATGATTCAAATCGGTGAGAAATTTCCAAATCCACAAAGCTTGCTTTGCTGTTGAAGTTGCGGCTGAATATTTTGCTTTACATAATAATAAAGCTAGTGTGTTTTGTTTCTTAGAGCTCCACGTTACTGCTCTAGAACCAAGATTATATATATTACCGGACACACTTTTTTGATCATTAATGCACGCAGCCCAATCAGTATCGGCAGTGGCGGACCTAGAATTATATTCGAGAAGGGGGGCTAATTTTAAAATTTATAAAATAATATATTTTATTTATAAATATTTATTTGTTATCGAAAAAAATTATCATTGTGATTATTGTATTTTGAAGAAAATAAATACAAATAAGGAACTATAACAATAATAATAGTTATACACTATATTATAAATATTTCTTTTTGTATTCCTTTTTATTCAGACAAGATATACAACTTTTTAGTATTTTTTTATTTATTCATTTTTTCTATATTACATATATTTAAATAAAAAAATACATAAATTTAAATAAGTAAAAAAAAAAAAACTAGTGTGGGTGGGGAGGGGGGCTGCAGCCCACCCTTGCCCCCACCTTGGTCCGCCCCCGAGTATCGGTGAAGCCAACATATATATATATATAACTAATGCATTGTTTATATATATATATATATATAT